AGTAGCAGTAGCAGTAGCAGTAGCAGTAGTAGTAGTAGTAGTAGTAGTAGTAGTAGTAGTAGCAGTGGTCGTAGCAGTAGCAGCAGCAGCAGCAGCAGCAGCAGCAGCAGTAGTAGCAGTAGCAGTAGCCGTAGCAGTAGCTAGTGGTAGTAGTAGTAGTAGTAGTAGTAGTAGTAGTAGCAGCAGCAGCTTTTTGTACCTACCTGGCACGTCGTCGACAGCACTGCAGGGTCTTGCCTACTGACGAGGTGTTTCGGGAAACCGATGCGTACACATCTAGTAGTAGTAGTAGTAGTAGTAGTAGTAGGAGTAGTAGTAGTAGTAGTAGTAGCAGTAGTAGTAGGAGTAAGAGTAGGAGTGGGAGTAGGAGTAGGAGTAGGAATAGGAATAGTAGTAGTAGTAGTAGTAGTAGTAGTAGTAGTAGCAGTAGCAGAACGGTAGTAGTCTGTAGTAGTAGTCGTCGTCTTTATAAGATCTCGAAATACCCTTGTGCGAATCGGCATTTAAAGCAAGCGGTGCGCAAGCCCGTCGCACTTTTGCGCATGCGACTGTTGCTTACGCACGCTTGTGCGCCCGTAGGTTTATGCCGCCGCCACTAGTCTGGCTGGCTCTTCGATGGTTTTGTCTGGGCTGAGGTCAAAGCAGCCGCACCACTCGGCAAGGGAAGCGCCGGGTCGGCAAGTCCTGCAGGCAACCAATCTAAAGCTCGCTGCACTTGAAAGCAGGGACTTTGTGTTTCTCATCTGCATGCGGCCTGGATCAAGCTAAAGTCTGAATAGGTCTGACTCAAGCTTATGCTCTTTGAACCTGTCCCAGCACATGTCTTCTCAAGCATCGGCAACAGTTCCCAAGCGCAAGTTTGCAACGCAGTGTTGAAGTGCAATTCTTCAAACGTAGCGTTCCATCTTCGACCCCTGTTCTTGTGCTCTAATGCCGAAATCGTGCCTGCATGCGACCCAACTTGAGTCCTCAAAGCCCCTGCGGTACTTGCCTATGCTGAACCCTCGGGTGCCTTGCCTGGAAACTGCTTCTGCACTCACATCTGGGGAGCTCAGCAACGACCTCAGACATTCGCGACACACACGCTTCTCGCTATGCTCCCCGGTTCAGCGTCGTCTCCTGAACTGCACGCGACCAGAACAACAATGCAATGCTCGGTGGTGGAATTTGCTATGGGGAAAGCTTATAGTCTCATGGTGCTCATGGAGTCCGATTGGTGGAACTAGAGCGAAATACCAGTAACTCTTCCGGTTTGCTTGGTGCAAGTGCCTTCGGAAACAACATCATTCAACGTCATACAAGCACTTGAAACACATGCCCGAGTGACCACCTGCGCAAAGGCTGCGTATGCTGTATCTTGAGATGTGCTCCATCCATTGTCGCCCCATCAATCCGAACAGCGGCAAAGTCTACTCCTGTGCTGATGCTCTGCGCCGAAGGCACCGAAGCTTGGCGCCTCGGGCAGTGCCAATGGACGCGACATCCACGGCAGCCAAGCGCTGCGCAAGGGAATCTGAAAGCAGCTTCCTGGGTTGGGGGCGCAGGCTCCTACGTCGTGAACGAGCCTCCAGACGTGGCTGAGACTTCCTACTTTTGTCCATGGTGGAACCACTTTTTCAACACCAGGGTCCGGAAGTTTGCGGGCTTCAAGTCCTTCTCGCCCAGGACAACTCCTGGGCCCGTGCACCGGATGTACTCACGACGAAAGCTTTGACATGCTTTGCCGCACGACACGAAGCTCTGCACACGTCCTTTCAAGCTTAGACTTTGTCTCAAGTGACATTGGAACTGCACGTGTGCACAGAAGCATGTATTTTCGAGGCTGGAGATTTCCGGCCGCGGCCAAGCCCAATGCAGCTGAAACCCGTGAAAATTTGCGCTTAGATGCGCCCAGCCTATTACAGGTGCAACTATCAAAAGCCTGTACTAGACTCCAGGGCTGAAGAACACACGTCCAGATTTCCCAGACACAGCAGCAAGACATCAGAAGCACAAGTCTCCATAGGAACGAATAGGGGCGCGACAAACGACATGTACTAATAAATGCCGGTTTCGGGACGAAGCGGCAACACATCAACATAGACATGGACATGTGAAGTGAATACGGGCACCGGATGTCCAGCGCACACCGATCCAGGGCAATCTTACAGGCAAGAAGAATTGAGCGTGAGTGTGGTTGAAACGAATCCACAAGCACGCTGTAACATACGATGAAAGACCTCGTCATGACCAACAGCTGTTAAGATTCTCCCGGCACGTCTGGAAATTTCCGTCTGTGGGCATCAGTGCCTGAGAAACCTTATCTAAAAAGCCAAACTAGTCCCCCCAACAAAATTAGAATTCATTTTTCTCAGGACGTCCGAGATCCCTGCGGGCTGGATAAGGCTTACTTGGGCCAGCAACTTCCATACAAAGCAAGCTCACACACACACAAAAACATGCAGCGAGAAGGCCTGTCTGGTACAACCCCTCCTCACGAACGGAATACTCTACTCATTTAGCCCGAAGTTTAAACTGCGATCTATGCGCTCCACCCCTGAACCTGTAAAATCGCAGGGATCTGCCTTCTAGCTGCCATGGCTACCCGCCCCTGCTACTACGGAAGATTTATGTTTATGCGGTTGCTTTAGCTCCTGATCAAAATGGGATTCCGCACGAAACAGCATTTAGTTGCTCGCACCAAAACACATATTGGCAGCCCAGTCATTTTCTCCTGCAAACGAGGTGTGCACCTCAACCCTCTCCTTTTCAGACAAAGTGCTCAGGGCTTCCAAGAGCTTCATCACAGCCTCCGGAGGCCTGAGCCAGGCACGAGGTTGACAGGGTGCTTTGTATGCTTGGCTCAGCATGGCTGCGGAGGCCTAGCAGGCTGGCCCGTTTGTGAATTCACGAGTGGCAACACACTGTTGGACATGCAAGGCCATGAGCGCCTTGTCCGTTCCTACACGCCTGGACTGGAAGTCGAGAGCTCCAACAGCTCTACTACCGACAAGTCGAAGTCATGGTTCTGCGGCTGTCCATCAATTGCTGTGTGATGCGAATCCTCAAGAGATCTCAGGAGCCCCCGACCCGATTTCAACTGCAGTCGTGGAGCCGCTTCAACATGCGAAGCTCGCGGATTTCCTAGCGGGCACGGGCGTGCAGTCTGGAGCTTGGAAACTTCATCAAGCTCCGTCATCTTGCTTTATGTAGGGCAACCTCCGTAGTCCGGAGGCATTCAGCGCTTCCGTTTCATGAACTGTGCCCTGCAATGTGCAATGTAAACTTCCAGCAGACAGCCTTGGCTGACACGTTTCGTGCCATCACTGCGAGCTCAGCTGCGCAGCGCTTGGCATCCTGTCCGAGTCTTCTACAGGAAATGACTGGAATCACTGCACTGGCCGGCATGCACAGAAGCTATAACAGCTATAGCGTACGTCTTTTCACCCCCGAAGCATGAGCTTCGTCGCCTCAGACGCAACAAGCCGTCTCACTCTAATGCTGGCACATGCTGGTTGGTGGCAGCGTATCCAGGCATGTAAACCTTCAGCATGCCCTTTCAAGGTTGATGTCCTCCGCCGGTAAGGACAGGGATGACGGTCGCCGGCCTTTCGCCGATCAAGGCTCGTACGAGGCCGAAGCGCCGAGTTGAACAGGCTCTCCCTTTCGCTCTCTCGCAGACTTGAGGTTGCGAGCTGCATTTATGAAAGCAAACCTGTCAACCTATCAAGGCAGGCGAACGAATTCCTAGCTTGTTTCAAGAAGTTAAAAACTCGGAAAGGTTGTCGCCCGCCTCGAGAGCTTCGATTTAAGCTCTGGGTCGATTCTTTGCAAGCTTCCCCATCTGCAGTGCGTGCACTGCTTGTGGAAGCCTGCCAGGAACGGACACACCCTGTGCTCCCTTTGCCAAGTTGCTTCGTCCTGATGCTAGGAAGTATTGAAATTGCTGTCAGTAGGGCGCCTTTGAAACTTGCTTGGCCCGTTCATGCGCCGGAATTCTGGGTGCAGGCTCGCTGGGCGGTTCCTGCTCCTCCACTTCTGCCAATGGCTCCTGCCCCAATGCAGCACGACTCCGAGCTGTTGAATGGGGTCTTGAACCGAGCATTGTACAAGCCCGGTAAAAATGAGTTTGGAGTCTTCTGGCGAGCAAGGTCCGGCTTGCTGTTAACATTTGCCGTCGTCGCGTTTCTGATCCCACTTTCTGTCTTCAGGCCTGCGAGAGGAAAAGCGTCTCGCTCTCTCTTTCTCTCTCTGTAGAGACTCACAACAACCCATTTTCCAGCTGCTGCTGACGCGCTCGGAACAGGCAAGGCCACATCTGTGGCATAGAACTCGCTGAAAGCGAGAATCGGACAGAGACAACTCTACATTCATACCATAAACTTTGCTACAAAGCAAGCCAGAAGAGGAACTGGACAGCGCAGAAGCCAGCTTCAAGCTTGCGGTCGCGACCCCTACCAGGACTAACAGGAGCAAAGGACTCGGACGGCGCGAGCGTGGCATGCAAATCTTGACCTTGCGTAAACTCTCGCTCGAGAGCCTACTTTGGTTGGACCTAACAGCCATCATGGGTTTATGTAACTCATGTAATGGAGTCAGCATCAAGCACGGACATCACGCCTCAAAAGCATCAGTTAGGTGTGCTGGAAGCTGTTTCAGGACCTGCCTCACAGTGCAGTAGATGCCAACAGGCTTTTCTCATCTTTGCGCTTTGGCCATACACTCAGCGCACGGTCCCTGGTTTCGACTCTTGGCTAAGCGCAATGCGCTGCGAATGAAACGACAGCTACTACTACTCCCGGCACAAGTTCGAGTCAAGTGCATTTTGGTTTACATGGCACCGTGGCTCGACGGACAGCACTGGCCCTCTTGTATGGGGTTGCAGGTTGGGAGCCGTGCAGTCTGTTTGCAAAACGGTGTGGCTGAACAGATCGACCCGACCATCTCTGGAACCTTGCAAGCAGTCCTGTGGAAGCTCCTCCAGCATCTGTTCCTGGCTCTCATCCATGGCCTCGCGTGGCGAGTCCTCCACCACCGGCACGGGGCTTTCGGCCAGGGTCTCGTGACGCGATCCTCGGCCATAACTCAGGGCTTGCATAGCTGATCTTGCGGAAAGAATGTGAAAAAGATAGCACCGTACCTGAAAAATAACACGTGTTGATTACTCGATGGTATGGTTTCAACAAACTTTGTCGAACCCTCGGTGGGATGAGCGAAGGATGAGATTTGAACAATGTCGTTAGGCCATTTCGCTGGGAAACCCATGTTGGCTTCCGCAGCCTTGTTGTAGTGAAGGTTATAAAGCTCGCAGACAGTCGACATTCGTGCTGTGAAGGGGGGCAGTCCAGAAAAACCACAATCGGAGCGTTGCAGCACCAAAAGTGTCGCTAATACTGCCGCAAAAGAGAAATCATCTTAGCCCAAGCAGATCAACAATATTCAACAAAACTCAGATTGCAAATGCTACTGGTCGATTTAGAAGCCATGCTAGGGTTTTCCGCAGTTCTACTCTCTTTGCTTAGCCAATCATCCCACCGTGACGTGGCCGTGCTTCCTCCTCTCTTCACGTATTCGTTGCCCTGTTTTCTTTTCCCTACTCTTCCCGTCCATACTCCTGAGCTACTTCCTTCCTGCCTCGTCCCTTTCCTGCTGTCTTCCTGCCTAAAGCACACCACCATTAAGAAACAAGGGTCGGAAGCACGGCCGAGCAACAGTTGCCATCATGTACAATTCGAAGTGCCTCCGATAACTGGGAAATTGTGACTGGTATTTTGGCCCGGTGTCGTGGCGTCTCCCAATCGGCAGGTTGTTCTGGAGGCGGGCCCCACCGCCTTGGCACCCAGAGCGGGGCGTGACGAAAGGACCTACGCCTCTCTGAAAATTCTGTTCGTACGCCCTGGACGGAATCCTAGAACTGCAGCTTGCGCCTCAGAAGATCACCGAGGTTGTCTGCAGACAATGCCGAGAAGGTCTCCTACATCGTACGCCGCGATTCTGCGCTAACTCTACGACTCCGCCACGCACTGGTTGGAAGGCTATGCCACATTGTCATCACTAGTGCTAGAGCTGGTCCTGGTGATCAGGGTGCCGAGTTTATGTCCTTTCCATTCTTTTCATTCAATCGCTGCTTTCTCTATGTCTATATCTATACTAGCGCACCTACCACAAGACCCTTGCATACGTTATGACCCGAAGGGCTCAGACCAACACGCCTGCATGCATATGTATATGTACATGTATACAAAATACTAAATGTAAATATAAATAGTTGAAACTTGAATAAATACATATATGTACATGCATATGCGCACGCGCACACATTCACATAATCAAGCGTATGTACTTGAATATATACATGTATATATATACACACACCACGAACTCATAATAAGAAAAGCAAGGGTGGACCTGTCAATAAGGCTCAAGCAGTCGATGCCAGTTGCTAGTGGGTATCGACTTGAAGACGGAGTTGGGGAGCATTTGCTGAGAAGTGAGTGACGCAGCGTGATTATGCGTGTGACTTTGTGTTCCGGTCTTTCCGAATCTCAGGATAAGGGATCCCGACAAAAGAATTAGGAACCCGAATTCGCTGCACGAGAACGGTGCGAAAAAAGGGCCCGGGAGGTTGGTTTGTTTTGCACTGTTGCGTCGGTAGGAAATTTGCCCAACAGCTTGTCCACAATATCAACCTGCCAAGTTTCTCGAATGTGTTGAGTTTTTGAGGCTTTTGACCCCTTGGGATATTTCTGACCCCAATCGCTACAACAACCATGAGTCATGAGTCTGGATGCAAGGAACTTCCGCACCACATCTTTGGGAGGAAGAATTTACAAAGCAAGTACAGCTAGCGGCTAAGCGGCTGATGCACGACAGCGCAGAACCGGTAGGATTTGTTGAACAATCCAAAAAGCCATGATCACTCGACCGATTCAGCTTCGGAACAAGGTGCAGGCCAAGGGCGAACCCTGCAACGTATCTCGGCAAAGCAAGGCCCTACTCGCAAAAACTTGATTGACGAACGAAACAAGCAAAAAACCATGGAACATGCTCGTAGGTCATGCTTGCTGAGGCTACATGTGGATTCAAGTGGCCGCATGTAGCCGAAAAAAGGGCACATGGGTGTACAAACAGGCTTTCTCCTGACATCGTTGTTGCCAGATTCAGCAAGTCGGACATCTGGTTGCTTGATATGGCTTCTTCATTGGTGCCTGTGTGTGTGTGTGTGTCAAATGTGTGGGTGGGTATGACCTCAGCTACTGCTGAAAGTACATGGGGGATTATGACGCGGAATATGGTTTGTGCAGACATTCTGGTTCGCGTCCATCCGAAATTTGGGCTTTCGGGCAATGTGTGTTAAGACTGGGCTGCAAAGTCGTTTTGGGTGTTGTGCTCGGTTGCGGATGCTTTCGGCTGTCACAGCAGCAACAGCAGCAGCAGCTGCTATAACAACAACAACAACAACAACCACAACCACAACCACACCACAACCGCCACCACCACGACCACGACCACGACCACGACCACCACGACCACCAC